TGATCCTATGCATAAGATATATAAAAAGATCCAATGGATGGCGACTTCCATTTGAAAGGATGGCAGTTGTTTTTGGAGAGCGGTGTTTCGGTGCCTGGGCTCGGATGAGCCCGTGCATGAATAGTAAAATCATGAAAAAAATAGGAAAAATAAGTTTTTTTTGGTGATGCAAGATGCTCAAATACGTGATGTTCAAGCAAAAATTCGTAAAGTTTGAACATTCGAGGATCACGTGGCAACAAAAAAATCGGGTCTGTGAGAAACATTTGAAAATAGCACTATTCACGCCTGATTTTATCTTTTTTGCCGCGTGCTCCTCGCATTTACAAACTTCACCAAAATTTGCATGAACATCACCAAGGTTGGAAAAAGCGGTAGGCGTAAGCGAGGCGGTTGGCCTTCGCCTAGTGCCTAGGCGGTTCTTAAGCGCCCTAGGCGTGGCCTAGGCAGTAATATAGTTCTACTATCAGGGTGTATTTCTGAGTATTATATGTGTGTCAATGTTAATATAGGGCATATAAATAAGTTAACTAGCAGCTAGTGTCATTGGAATATGGCTCGTTTGGCATATCAGTGCAATATGTCATGATTCCTTGCTTGGATGGACAATTCATTGCTTGCTCTGCCTAGAGTTCCATTTATGCCCTAGGCGAGGCGTTTGACCATCACCTAGCACCTAGGCGTGCCTAAGCGCCTCCTAGACACTGACTTTTCTAACAGAGAACATCACACACATGCACATCTTGCTTGCAAAAAAAAGAACTTCAGAGTTTTTGGATTTTCTCTCTCTATTTTTAGTGATTTTACTATTTGCCAGGTTCATCTAAGCCCGGGCACCCAAGTGAATATCCGGGTTTTTTGGTGATAGCTTACGCCTGGAATTCAGGATGTTAATGAAAACCTCTAAAGTTGTTTCATTACAACAGCCGTGAAATGCATGTCTTATTGCAATTTTGCTCTAACGAAATTGGAGATCAAGGCAAGCCAGTTTTGGAATCTAGTAAGTTGGTAGGGATGTATTTATTTATACCACATTCCAAACTGAACGAAATAACTTCTCTTATAACAACTTTCTGAGAAGGCATGTGAGTTATGTCATGTGTCTTCTTATTAGGTGGAAACAACAAAATTTCCAGAGTCATGTACAAAGTGAGTAGTTTCCTCTTTATTAATGAGAAACAACAATGTTTACTCCACTTATGTACATGACACACGACATAACTTCTCTTACAACAACTCTTTGAGAACGCTTGTAATTTAAACATGTCTTCTTATTAAAGGGAAACAACAAAATTTACAATAGTCATGTACAAAGTGAGCATTTCCTTCTTTACTAATGAGAAACACACCAATGCTAACAACACTTATTTATAAGACACTCGACATAACTTCTCTTACAACAACTCTATGAGAACACGTGTAAGTGAAGCGTGTCTTCTTATTACGAGGAAATAACAAAATGTGCAAAGTGAGCAGTTTCCTCTTTACTAATAAGAAACAACAAAACGTACAACACTTATGTAGAAGACACACAACTTTTTCCTGAAAGCACGCATAAGTTGAGTGTGCTCCTTCATTAAGAAGAAACAACATATCTGACAACAGTTATGCACAAGCTAGCTAGACAAGCAACTTTTTTTTTTTCAAAACACACATAAGTTCAGCTTGACTCTTTGCTAAGAAGAAACAACAAACTTTATAACACTTGCATACGACGCAAGTTCCAACCGCAACCTTGCTGAGTTGAACATTGTCTTCTGTTAAACTGTGGCAAAGACAAAAAGCCCAAAAAAATATCTAAGTTGGCGAAATTGATCCCAAAATTGCAAGGTGTGACAAACGCAGCGGTCATATGACATGTGAAGTAGGCTGCTAGAAAAATATGGCATGCCGGTCACATAGACGACACTGAAACAAACAACTACCTATAAATGATTTCTACACTTGTTGTGAAGTTCGACAAACAAAAAATGAGCACGCTCTAAGTTTTTTCGTAACAAATTTTGCTGAAAAATGCATATCTTTTATTATGTAATAATGTGAGCAGCTTAAAATTTACGAGTTCGTCCTTGAAAATCCATGCTACTCCTTTTTACTTCCAGTCCCACCTTGCTGTGCAAAAAGCATGCCAACATTGAAGTGACATAACTCCAAAAATCCCTGGTCATGCACCACACTCAAACAGGAAGGCAAATTTGAACCCAGCAATTTTCTATTCCTCTTCTTAACCCCACAGAAGCTCCTCCTTTTCCCAAAGTGCCCAAAGTTACCCTCAGTATGAAATGCCGAAGGGCTTGGCGACCTGGTGTGCGATGGAAACAGATTAATTGGCCAGTTGCACACTGTTGCTTTTTTAGGGGGGGTGGGCTGAATTATTGCAGCTCGTCATGTGAAGAGGTGAGACAAATCCAAGGAAAAAGGGCTCCACGTAATAAAATCAAGGGCTGGTGCTGCTGGTGGTCACTCCAATCTTTGGGCGCCCAGAATCCATCAAAGTATATCAATCCAGCCAAAAGCAAGTTACCTACCGGCCCCAAAGCCATCGGGTCAACGGAGAAACACAGGTTCTCTATCATAATTCGTGTAGGTGGATTGTTAACCATGCGCACATGCTGTCATGTACTCCCTCCGTTCCTATTTACTTGTTGTGGTTCTAGTTCAAATTTAAACTAAAACCACGATGAGTAAATCGGAACGGAGGGAGTAGTATGTGTTTGTGTGTTTTTTCTTTGAACTGATATATGCTACATCTTTTTTGAAAAGGAAGTTAAACCCCTGAGCCTATGCATCTTACTGATGCTCACAATCATTGTTACTCCCTCCGTAAAGAAATATAAAAGTGCTTAGATCACTAAGGAAGTACTAATTATCAATTAGAGTATTGTATAAAATAAAACATGATAAGATATGAAATAAACACCTATGACTAAGTCGACTTCTTTCATGACAATGTCTTCAAGAAGAGATAAACGTCCTCGTGCCATCATTGGCACGTCCAATCGGAGACAACATGGGCTAGGATTTTCATCCTGTTTTGCCAAGACTATCAATTATGTTGCTTTGTTGAAAATTGTGTTTCTATGTTAAATAAACATTTTCTTTGCTGGAGGTTGTGAACTGTGATTTCGATTGTTACATGAGCTATCAGTCCTTTTGATTAAAAAAAAGAGCTACTAGTCCTTTCAAAAAAGAAGAAGATCGATTATTTGAAATAGTGTAAAAAACGCTCTTATATTATGAAACGAGAGGAGTATTTAAAAGACAGAAACTAGCTGCTACTAGTCCTGCTCCGTGGGCCTGTTTCTAGGGTGCAGTTGTCTCGACCTGAAACGTTCTGGAACTAGGTACTACGCTAACGTCTGGTTAGGAAGAATGGACCACCTGCATCAGTCTGCTAACACCTGCATCGACCATCTACCAGCAGCTAATCAGTGAACTACTACAGTAGTAGCAGTACTTATCAGTATTATTTTAGTAGCATGTTTATTTTTGAGAAAAAGGAGCTACAGCGAGTTCAGTGTTGCGACAAGGAAAAAGATGCGTGAATTGCAGACCGTATCTCCTACTTTTCCCGCTTTTAGCGCCACTTTTGGAGCCTTGTTTTCCACCAATCACGCCATCTAACCTTTAGTGTCGACACAGTAACTATCCGTCTTTTCCATCAATCGACCAGGGCGCTTATTTTCTTCACCATCTGTCACCTTCCCAGCAGAATAGATAGAAAGAGCAGATGTTCATTTCAATAACCCTAGTGCATTATGCAAGTTCTTCAGAGAGACATTTTTTTTTTCTGAGCTTGCGAGTTCTTCGTAGGTACACTATGCTAGTGCCATTCTGGCCTAGCTTGGACTATTGGTTCGCGCGACTTTTGAAAGAGCCGACATCAAGACGTTGATTCGAACACCACTATATATGTTCGGGGTGAAAAATCATTATTCTGACCTTTATTTGTCGAGCTCGCAAACGACGGACTCACGTCGTAACCTTGTTGAAGGCACCGTCTCCTTGCCGACATGCTGACCTTTAGTGGTTTGGTCGCGGTAATTAGGACGAAAATCCTTGTTTTGATCGTCTTCGGCCTGACGTGACGACAGAGGCGCGAGGAAGTTTATCCTTACTTGAAGGCGTTGGTGTGAAGAAAATCAGCTTGATCGTAGGTGTTAAAATTCATATCTTGTATTGGCTCTACCGTTGTTGCACGTACTTTGCACTCCGCTTGTCTTACATCAACTTTAATAAAAAATGCTTGTGTGTATTGCAATGATGCAGATGTCGGGAATTATTCGTAGAAAGAAGGACGACGCATTATGCAAGTTCTTCATAGAGGCTTGATCAAAAAAGGACGACACATCTTGCATTTGCTTGCCTATTTGTCTATCCTACCCTCTGTTCCTAAGTGTAAATGTAAGACGTTTTGGCAGTTCAGTTTAAACTGCCAAGACATTTTATATATTTCAAAAGGGAGGTAGTAGTTGTACTATAAGCTCCATTATCCGGATGTGCTATCCATCTCACGCACTTCCATGTCCACAGAAGAAGCCTAGAGCGGCAGAGCTACTCGCCGTCGTACTCCAACATGTTCATATTAATATTGTTTTGAAATTCTGTTACTACGACTAGACGTGGAAGGGGCAGCCTAGGGCTCTACGGCTAGCTTGCAACGACCCCCAGGAGAGCCGAATAGTTGATGGGATGCAAATTGTCCTCATGACACCAAACAGGTGAGTAACTTTTGCACTCGACTGTCTCAGTTTGAATCCAGAAATAATTGCAACGAAATAGGGAAAGAGACAATGATTCGTACCAGTAAAAGAAACGGTCTTCCATACCACGAAACGAACGAACATGCAGATTTATTACCAGAACACAGGATAAAGTCCCAGCGGAGACGACGACTATAAGCTAAGAATGACTACCACAGTCACGTAATACGCAGCATGCATGTGCCCTCCCATGCGTTTCACGCCTTGGAGGCCTCTACTTCCACGAGCAGAAAGCAATCAGACCTTGTAGAGCATGCCGATCTCGACGCGCTGCTGCAGGGGCACCCCGAGGGCCGGCAGCGCCGACCGGCAGATGCTGTGCAGGAACTCGTAGAACCGGAGCATCACCTTGTCGAACCAGCCGGCGTCGTCGCCCACGTAGAGCCTCATCTTGCCCCGGACGTGCACCACCCCGGCCGCCCGCGCCGCCTCCAGGTCCGCCGCCTCCTCCGCGGCGGAGACGGGCGACGGCTGCCCGTCGGCGCCCGCCTCGACGTGCTGCTTCAGGCAGCTCACGACGCGCGCGGCGAGGTCGTCGCCGCCCTTGAGGCTCAGGTTGTCGGCGTAGCCGTACTGGACGGTGCACTGGTACACCCCTCTCGGCCCGAGCCTCCTGACCGCGATCCTCTGCCGCGGGTCGACCTTGGGAACCAGCAGGTACCTCAGGGTCACGAAGACCGTCACCGAGTGCAGCGAGCTCATGTTGCGGATGTAGTGGCCGAGTATGGGGGTCAGCCCGTCCTGTATGTTGCTGTAGAAGAAGCACAGGCCCTGCACCCTCTGGACCTCCGGCTTCGCCAAGAGCTCGCCGAGGCGCTCCGCGGTTATCTTGTTCGCCCTCTCGTACTCTGTTTTCTTTTGCCTGCCGTAGTACCAGACGAACATGATCAAGGCGAGGATCATGGAGATGGCGAAGGGAAGCCAGCCACCTTCCGTGAACTTGGTGAAGACGGCACTGACATAGGACCCTTCCATGATGACGAACGGGACGAAGTACGCCGCGATGAGAACGGGCGGCGTTCTCCATATGATGATCATCACAAGAGTCAGCATGATTGAGGTTATGAGCATGACCATGATCACCACAAGGCCTGCATGTAAAATCATGAATTATCAGTTACCAGTTAGCTCTATAGTACTCCCTCCGTCTCAAAATAAGTGTCTCAACTTTGTACTAACTCTAATAGGAGTATAAAGTTGTACTCCTTCCGTCCGAAAAAGCTTGTCCCTCAAATGGATGTATTTAGCATCAAATTAGTGCTAGATACATCCATTTGAGAAACAAGCTTGAGACAAGTTTTTCCGGATGATGGAAGTACTAAGTTTGAGACACTTATTTTGGGACGGAGTGATATTAACAACTGACCCCGCAAAAAAAAGTTTCATAGAGTAGAATTTACTTACCAAAAGCATTCCCTATCGCTTGTCCACCTCCAAAGCCTAGTATAACACCAACGCACAGCACCATCAGAATGTAATTAGTTTCTGGCGAGTAAACCTCCCCTTCATTTTCATCCGATGTGTGCACCACTTTGACACGTGGGAAGTAGTCCAGGACAACTGATTGCTTGATGACAGAAAATGTTGCCGAGATTAAGGATTGGCTTGCAACAATGGCTGCGAGCGTCGCGATGACGAACATCGGCCAGTAAACAGGGCGAGGGATAAATTTGTAGAATGCATCATCGAAGACTTTGCCAATGTTCTCTTGATCGGTGTCTTTGAGATGGTTAATAAGGCATGCTGTTTGCCCGGCATAAGTGAGGATCAGAGAAGGATATACGCTGGATAGAAACGCTATCTGAAACAAATAAAGTGTAAAACAACTATACATGGAAGGGGAAAATGATTTACAAGAATAATTTTCTTGATGACAATAACCTGAATAGCCTTTTTGCTGAAGTGGCCAAGATCGGCGAACATAGCTTCCGCACCTGTCAGCAGGAGATCGAACATCAGGCTGCATGGTGGTCATTGTCAGAAAAAATTTACAATTGCATGGTGGTCCATGTTGGTTTTTTTTTTACATCAACCTTGGGCCATTTTAATGTGATGTACGGTTATGATTGAAGATGAATAGATCGAAAGTTTTCTCGCGAAAAAAAGTGATGTACCTGTGATGGCTAGAACAGTGGCACCAAGCATCTGCCACCCTTCCTTTTTATTCTTTAGGAAGAAATGAACAATATAATGTGGCGAAGTGGCTTTGAATATGCCGGGGTAGTAACGAAAAATGCTGTATATTCCAACCATCGGAGTGGTGAAAGTCCATGCTGCCATGATTGGAGAAAACAGAAAGCTTACTTTTGAAGTCCCATACTTTTGCACTAAGAATAAGCCAATAAGAATTGCCGCAGATAGAAATGCCACGACAGCTGCAAGATTCAAAGAAAGATCAATGTAATAGAAAAAGGGTTATCAGAGAGATTCTTTTCATTACTGATCAACATCTGTTGAGCTTTGTACGTTGAGTCACAGCAGGAAATGGCGCGCGCAGTCCCTGGATTGCTGATAACACTAAAAAGAAATAAACAACATGTTACTACTTATCTTTATTTATGATCACAAAAATGATTTAAGTTAGATATGCCATCTACACACAACAAACCTGAAATAGCAGGAGTTAGGACACCATCTCCAATGAGCATGCACATCCCAAGAATTGACATGAATAACAATACCCTTCTTGCAGTTAAGCTTCGCTCAAAGAACTTGCCCAGATTACTAGGGGTTTTAGTTGTTTTTGACTGATTGTGAAGCAGCTGTTCTTCTGCTGAATACACTCTCTTGGAAGGAAGGATGCCCATATTGGCATGCCTACACAACAGAGAATACATGGCAAATGTACCACCTGCAGAAAATAGAGTAAGCAACACTCCAAGCCAATAACATCATAAAGTAAAATATTATCTACCCAGAACAAGAAACGTGTATTTTAAGACATTAATTAATTACAAAGTTGCACCTCCATCAGGCCTACGATTCATTGACATTTTTCCAGGTCAAACACATGCTGATATATCATACTCCCTCCATCCCAAAATAAGTGTCTTGACTTTAATACAACTTTGTACTAAAGTTAGTACAAAGTTGAGACACTTATTTTGGGACAGATGGAGTAATATCTAATCTGCATGCTTCATACATTTGATTGAAGAAAACACTAGAGAGACTAGAAAATAAATTGATCTATAAAAATATGCAATGCCACAAGCAACCAAATATTTGATCAACAAACTTTTTTGTACTGATGATTTGTCTGTTTTCAAATCAAATCATCAACTGCCGTTCTACAAGCTATTACCAATTCGAACAATCATCTAGAAAGGCAGCAATAACCGCTGAGCGGAAAGGGAAGGTAGAAGTTGCAAGGGGCTAGTTACCTTCACCGTGATCATCAGCGTTGAGAGCTATGCCTGCATACTTGACGACACCAATTAAAGTAAGAGTCCAAAACATTATGCTGTATATTCCCAGAAAGTCAGCTTCTGTGGGGGATGACATGTGCATCGTGGAAAAAACATAGAGCGGAGAGGTAACGAGGCCACCGAAGACCACGCCGAGAGTCTTGTACGCGAGGAATAGATCTTTGCGAACATTGCCAACCTGTTCACAGTTGAGGGAAGGCATCTGTATGAGAGCTATATATACAGAAGATATTCAGTGTTGTAAAAAATAGGCATGCACCAAGCTGATCATACAAAGCATTTGGTCACTTGTATTCATAGCCCAAAGCCCCAAAGTAGTACCATTATTAATGCTTGAAATCAGTTACTATGCTGAGGATGTCACACAGGTCCCTTTCCCAACAAGTATTCAAGTGGAATTTTGTGGGGCTTACGACACACGTTAACACCGAGGACTTGTTTCTTTCTCTTGGTCCACTTTCGTGTGGCACTTTCAGAGGCTTCAAGATACTAGAAACTGAAGCCCTGTGATGTAATCAGTTGTGACATCATCAACAAAACCATCCCCAGTCTACGCACCAACTTCTCGCTTGTTTATTTCTTCGCAAAAATAAATAGAAAGGTCAAACAATCGCTCCCTTCTAAGGTTGATGCATCAAAAATGACTAGGATACGTTTCCGAATGAAATAAAGAGGGAAGCTGATCGTCATTGCGTCTAGTAGTTCAATGCATACCACTTCCTCCGTTCCTAAATGTAAGTCTTGGTAGAGATTTCACTATAAATCATATACGGATGTATATAGATGCATTTTAAGTTTGGATTCATTCATTTTGCTCCGTATGTAGTCCATCTGATGGGATCTCTACAAAGACTTATATTTAAGAACGGAGGGAGTAAATACGAGCACACAGACATGCATCTAGGCTGAAGAATTAGCAAGCAATTCAGAGGCGGAGCTATGCATACTTCAAGGGGGCAAGCCTGGGATCAAGTTGTCAAAGGGAAAAAAAAATAGGAGGGCTTAGATTAGAATTTTTTTTTAGCGTTTGGCGTCTCTCACCCCCAACGAGTTTCGTCTAGCTCCGCCTGAGTGTGGCACTTTCGTCACCGATATGCTTACATTAGTTTTGCTGTCGCAAGCATCGCTTTTGAGTCAGCGATGATCAAGCCTTCCGAGTACAAACACCCCTACCTAAGAGATAGCATGCACATTAATGGAAAAAAAGATACAAGCTCCTACCCAAGAGATAGGATGCACATTACAATGGAAAAAAAAGCCGAGTAAAAGCGCTCTCTAAATACGCTCTACTCTGCTAGTACATGTCTTCGAGGCTAAGCAAAAGCAAGCATTCACAAATCCCCCGGGCCAAGACAAACAGCTCACTGTTGACAAAAGAAACTCCCCGCTGGCTTTGACAATTTAAGAAGACCATTGCGTGACTACAAACGAAATTGACCCATGGCACCGAAAAATAGGTAAAACAAAAAAAAAATAACGCCGCTCATCGCAACAAGACAAGATGGTTTGACGCCAGGTGTCACCGGCGCGGGACAGTTGGAAGGCGGGGCTATCGGCCGCGTGCGGGCTATCTATCACCAGTCATCACCAGTTCCAGCCTCCCCCTCCTGGCTCACGCTCACGTTGGCCATCTGGCATGGCATGGCATGGCATGCAGCGCCGCCGTCCTCGTCGCGAAAATATCTATCTCTACGACTATGACCGCATGAACCCGTGGTCTTTTTTTACTTCTCTTTCCTCTTTGGCGCCACTGTAACTGAGACAAGCCCCCGATTATCACTGGGAAAACCTCAGTGAAACAAAGCCCCCGATTTACTCTGCGAGTGCAGATGCATGCTTCTCCCTCGCTCAGTCGCATGCAATCAGAAGGAACATGAAAAGATGCAACCAAATATTTAAAGAATTAAACCTACGAGTACTAAAATAAACAACTCCGGCGAGTATCGCACACGAAACTCGCGAGGCGAGAGGTGGCGCAAGCCATCAAACAAAAAACGGAACAGAAGAGTGAAATGGAGAGGGTGGGGGTTTCTCCGGCGCACTCACGTCGGCCGGCGGTGGTGGGGCGGCCGCCGGGACGCCGCCCGGCTCCGCCTCTAGATCCATGTGGGCCCCGGTTGACATGCGCGGAGGGAGGGAGACGTCAGAGCGGTGGTGACCGAAGCTGGCTGTTTCGAGGCGGGCGAGGGGGAGCGGGAGCGGGGAGGAGGGGAGGGAGTTTATAATCGCGAGGCGAACCCTGGTCAGCCGCGCGAGAGCCGCGACCGGGACCGTTTTCCTTTTTCCGAGGCAAGGGAGTCGGGCTCGCAAGTCAACACGCACGTGCGAGCTTCCGCCACCGACCACATTCACCGTGGGCAGCTGGGCCTTTGCCTACGTTTTTTTTTTTTTTGAGTAACGGACCTTTGCCTACGTGCCCGGCTGATGAGTACTCCGAATGGGCTATACTCTCTTCTAAATTAGAAAGAATGGGCTATACTGTGGATGGGTATCGCGAGAGCTATTTCTCGCTTCAAGCCAGATGATAGCTTGAAGGAATTTCGTTGTTGCCTACGAATCGGGCCGGCCCATCTCTCGCTGAAGGAATTTTGCAGTCGCCTATGAATCCGGCCGGCCCATCGCGCGTACATTAAAGGGAAAGGCCACCAGCGAGATCGCCAACTACTCCACCCGCTTCCAGTTACTGGTTGGAAGTAGGACCGCGGCCAACTAGAGGCGACCGAGCCACTCGTCTCCATTTTTTTTCATTTCATTTTTCTTCTTCGATTTTTTTCATTCTTTCTTTTTACTTCTCCGATTTGTTTCATTTCGTTTCGTTTTCTTTTTTCTTCTTTTTTCTCATTCTTTTCTTTATCCTTCTGTACATTCTTTTTTTTTCTTTTTGTTTTTCATTCTACACTCTTATATACATGATAAAAAAATCAACTACTTGTTCAACATTCTTTTCTCATCTCTGATTTGTTTTTCATTATACATTCTTATATAGATAATAAATATTTTTTTAAATACTTTTTAAACATTTTTTAACTACTTGCTCAACATTTTTATATACGTGATAAACATTTCTTCCCAATACTTGTTCAATTTTTTTTCAAATAATTGTACAACACTTTTATATGCATGATCAACATTTATTTCAAATACTTGTTCAACATTTTTTCAATACTTGTTCAACATTTTTCAAATGCTTGTTGAACATTTTCTAAATACTAGTTCAACATTTTTTCAAGCGTTCTTTGAAATTTTTTTTGTAAGATATATATTTAGAATATTTAAAAGTATAAACCAAAATACAAAAATAAAAGTAAAAAAGAAAACATAAAACATAAAAAAAAAGGTTGTGGCCTCCCACGCTCATGGGCCAGCCCAGCTTGCTCGCCATTCAGCGAGTCCTAAGCCGGAGTCACTGAAGCCGAGATATAGCGACGCCCAATGGAAATTGTTCTCGCCTTCAGCACTGATGACGTAATTGGGCCAGCCCATCTAACGGCCGCTTTACGATGTTACGTTATTCAATTAACTAATCAAAGAGCGCTCCTTTGAGAGACTCCCCAAGGGTCACTTGGAGTGGGCTGAAAGCACGGTCTTGGTCATCGCCACATGTCACGCTCTAGGCGCCCCTCAGATTTTTTTTTTATTTTTTGTACGTGTTTTCGGTTTTTAGATGATTTTTTTTTGGCTTTTCTTATGTTTTGGACAAAAAAACAATTGACGTGAAAAAACGTTCCTTTCCCATTCGTGAGAGGCACGGATTTACTTCTCGTAGAGCCACATATTTCTTTTGCGAGAGGCACGGTTATGCCTCTCGCAAAAAAATGAGTTTTTTTAATGACGAGAGGCACAAATTTACTTCTCGTAGAGACACGAATTTGCTTTCGCGAGAGGCACGGCCGTGCTTCTCAGAAAGAGAAAAAACACATTTTTTTTTCTTCCACGAGATGCATGGATTTAATTCTCATCGAGGCACAGATTTCGTTTCACGAGAGGCACGACTACGCCTCTTGCAAAAGGGAAAAACCATGTGTTTTCCTACCATGAGAGGCATGGATTTACTTCTCGTAGAGGCACATATTTGGTTCTATGGGAGGCCTCTCGAAAATGAACATTTTAACATATGTTTTGACACGCATGAACATATTTTAAAATGTCACAGACATTTTTTTAATGGGACGAAATGTTTTTGAAAGTTGAGTGAATATTTTTCTTTACACTTCATGAACATTTTTCAAATGTTTGATGAAAACTTCCCAAATTTTAAGTGATTTGTTTGGTCATATGTATTGTAATATTTTTGAAAATATATACAAAAGTAAAAAAATAGTAAACAAACAAACCGAATTTAGAAATGAAAAACCTGTTACTGGGCCAGCCTACTTGGGGGTGTTCCTTGAGGCCACGCGGTGGCAGCTCTCGCAGCAAGCGAGGTATAGTCGCCCCCTCTTGGGTTCAGTTTGCGCTCAGGAAGCGATGGACTCGAGGGCTCTATAACTGGCCCGACCCATCTGTAAGAAAATTGGGATAGAAGATATTATAGTTCACTGATGTACTAGTGAAAGATTCGCGGACACACCTCCCTCTTCAAACGTAACATAGCACGATGCGTTTAAGCACTTTCTGACGAAAGCCTAGTGGGGCATATTAGTCCTCGGAGCAGAATGCGATAGAATTTATTTCCACCGTGATTAGACCTTTGTTTTAGCAAGGGGAAGGGACCAAAGGTCCCCGAAGCTAGCTCTAAATAACAAAAGAGTTACAACTTCCCCGCAAAAAAAAACTCCACATAAAGGACTTGAAGCTTTCTTTTCCTTTTTTTCATACATGTGGAACTTCCCACATGTCGTACATTTCTTGCATACATATGAAGCATTTTTTTTATACAAGTTGAACATTTAAAAAATACAGAAAGAATGTTTTTGAAATACATGTTTTGAACACTTTTCTGAATACATGTTAAACACTTCTGAAATACATGTTGAACATTTTTCTGAAAAATTACATGAATATTTTTTATGGTGTATAAAAATTTAAAACATTCATGTTTTTGAACATTTTTTCGGATAATTGTTAAATATTTTTCACCGGCCAACCAGCCGCTCCAAATCTAAGGAGACGCGACACACAAAGTAATGTCAGAACATCATCGTTTGCAGTCACGCCAGAGGAACTGTTGGGGGCGTGGAGTGGCTGGGCTGGGCTAGGCTCACTTGCAAATTAAGGCCCATGCTACAGTATCTCTCTGCTATTTATTCTGTTTCCTATTTTACTTTGTTGTTTTGATTTAAATGAAGATACTCCCTCCGTTCCTTTATATAAGGTGCATTTATTTTTTCAAAAGTCAAACGAGTGCATGTTTGACCAAGTTTTAAGAAAAATATATCAATATTCACAATACGAACATTTTATCCATCATGAAAAGTAGTTGCATATTTTATCTATTAGGTATTGCAGATGTTGTTATTTTATTCTATAATCTTGGTCAAACATTCAAATGGTTGACTTGAACAGAAATCAATACACCTTATGTTCTGGAACAGACGGAGTACGAACTAGCTCTGAAACTTTTGAGATTTATGTGACCTTACTGGTGCAACCCAAGTACACATAAAAAGTTTCAAATTTGTTGAGATTATATTTTTATTTCTAACAATATAAACCCAATTCGATTAAAGTTTAGGGTTTAAACTACAAGTGTGTTATGGGCTTATGGCTGATTCCAAAAATCTTGGAATAATTATTATAGCTTCCTAATATTATTGGAAGGCTAGATACAAAATTTGAAGATAAATCATCATGTGAAAGTCCCTCATTTTAATATATCCTAATCTAGCTATTTTAAGAATTATGGTTTAAATTATGATTTCCAAAGTTTTAAACCATCCTTAAACCCTTGAAATTTTTAGAGGATCCATATCAATTATATGAAGCTCTTGCCATGAAGGGCATTTTGCATTCATTGAGGAAATTTTAGGGTCTTAGCCCTTTAGGAAACACGAGGTTTGAGTTAATCCTCATTTTTCACAATTCAAAGAATTCAGACATGGTGATATGCTATGCTCTCTATGCGTCCATTACATTACCACAAGCTAGGGTTGTGACATTTAATGGTAAAAAGAGACAACATCACTTCATGTGCACAAGGAATATAGAGGTACTATGTGTTACACACTATATTGATGTTGAACCATGAGAACATATATGCCCCTCTGTTGTATATATGCCCATCCGCTACAATGCACAGGCAATTAACTAGTATTATGAAAATGTTTCCTAGCAACACGATGATATTCTGTACACACAAAAAACTAGAATGAGACATCGTTCCATGATTGCCAGAGAATTTATATCGCAAGTATCGAACATGGGAAACGGTTTAGCAATATGCTATGTAACATTGTGTTTTAGCCTTTTATTTCTTTATTTTTTTAGACTATTGCGACAATGTAATAATTGGTTCATCTTTGAATCCAGAGATCAGATACTGGGGAAGTTGTTCTCTTCCATTTTTTTCATAATAAGATGATACGCCTCAAGTTTGGCTAACAAAAATAAGATCCCAAATGAAACATAATAAATCTTGAGTTCTTGACAGGTTTCCTACTGAACTGGTCAAACCTTCCCAGAATTTCTTACAGGAGACATGGTGGCATTTTTCGCTGACTTCACGGTACCCTTCTCCCGCTTTGTTGGCCCAACTTTCGTGCCATCACTCTTATGTCTTATATACCAGGAATTGAGATGCCAAATAATCCAATAGTTCAGGCCCACTTGTCTTCTAAATGTCAGTTCAAAATTCTTCACAAAAGATGTGCACCAACCGTGTCATTGCTTGCAAAAAATATGGCGTGGCCAACACAAATGGCATTTCCGACATGACGGTATAGTATGGAGAGTGACCATTTTCATGAGATTCATACAAAAAACAGTTGATGCAGCGCCTCAAACCTTGTACAACATGCCGATCTCAACTCGCTGCTGCAGAGGCATCCCGAGAGCTGGCAGTGCCGATCTGCAGATGCTATGCAAGAATTCATAGAATCGGAGCATGACCTTGTCAAAACAGCCGGCATCGTCACCCACATAGAACCTCATCTTGCCCCGGACATGCACCACCCCGGCCAAACTCGCCGCCTCCAGGTTGGCGATCTCTTCCTCCGTAGAGACAGATGAACGCCGGTCGGTGCTCATCGCAATGTGCCGCTTCAGGCATCTCATAACCTGTGCGACAAGATCATCGCCTCCTTTGAGGCTCAGGTTGTCAGCGTAGCCATACTGGACGGTGCACTGGTACACCCCCCTAGGTCCGAGCCTCTTGATCAGGACCCTTTCCCGTTGATCAACTTTGGAAACCAGCAGGTACCTCAGGGTCACAAAAATTGTGACTGTATGCAGTGAGCTCATGTTCTTGATGTAATGGCCAAGTATAGGAGTTAGCCCGTCCTGTATGTTGCTGTAGAAGAAGCACAAGCCCGGGACCCTCTGGACCTCAGGCATTGCCAAGAGCTCACCAAGGCGCTCCATGGTTATCTTGTTCGCCATTTCGTACTCTATTTTCCTTTGCCTACCATAGTACCAGACGAACATGATCAATGCAAGGATCATGGAAACTGCAAAAGGAAGCCAACCACCTTCAGGGATCTTGGTGAAAACGGCACTGACATAGGACCCTTCCATAATGACGAATGGAATGAAAAACATGCCGACAAAAACAGGTGGTGTTCTCCATATGATGATCATCACGAGAGTGAGCATGATTGTAGTTATGAGCATGACCATGATGACAACAACACCTGCAGTAAAGATATAAATTATGCATTGAGTCTCCAGGCACAAAGTAGCTGTATATCAACGACTGAAGCATTTGTTTCGTCAAATTTACTTACCAAAAGCATTCCCTATCTCCTTTCCACCTCCAAAGCCTAGTATAACACCAACACATAGTACCATCAGAATGTAATTAATTTCTGGTGAGTAAACCTCCCCTTCCTTTTGATGTGATGTGTGCACCACTTTAACACGTGGAAAGTAGTCCAGGACAACTGATTGCTTGATGACAGAAAATGTTGCCGATATTAAGGACTGGCTTGCAACAATTGCTGCTAGTGTTGCAATGACAAACATCGGCCAGTAAACTGGCCGAGGGATAAATTTGTAGAATCCATCACTGAAGTCATTGACGTTGTTAATAAGGTATGCTGTTTGCCCGGCATAAGTGAGGACCAGAGAAGGATATATGCTGGATAGAAATGCTATCTGAAAACAAATAATAAAGTGTAAGCAGCTATACATGGAAAACATTCACAAGAATAATTCATGCTGATATTTGTTAATGATAATAACCTGAATAGCTTTTTTGCTGAAGTGGCCAAGATCTGCAAACATAGCTTCTGCACCTGTGATACATAGAACAGTCCCACCAAGCAGCTGCCACCCTTGTTTTTTTATTTCTTAGGAAGAAATGAACAATATAATGTGGCGAAATGGCTTTGAAGATGCCTGGGTAGTAACGAACAATGCTGTATATTCCAACGATTGGAGTGGTGAAAGTCCATGCTGCCATGATTGGAGAAAACAGAAAGCTCACTTTTTAAGTCCCATACTTTTGCAGCAAGAATACACCAATAAGAATTGCTGCAGATAGAGCTTCCACAACAGCTGGAAAATTAGACGAAAGATCAATGTCATATCAAAGGGTTATCAGAGAGATTATGTTCGTTACTAATCAACACCTATTGAGCTACCTACGTTTACTAACAGAAGGAAATGGTCCTCTCAGTCCATCAATTGCTGATAACACTGAAACGACATAAACAACATGTTAGTTATCTATATGATCACAAAAATGATTAATTTAGATATGCCATCTGTAAACAACAAACCTGAAATAGCAGGAGTTAGGATTCCATCTCCAATGAGCATGCACATCCCAAGAATTGCCATGAATAACAATACCCTTCTTGCAGTTAAGCTTCGCTCAAAGAACTTGCCCAGCTTACTAGGCCTTATAGCTGTTGCTGACTGCTCACGAAGCAATGGTTCTTCTTCTGAATACCCTCTCTTGGAAGGAAGGATGCCTATATCGGCATGCCTACACAACAACGAATACATTGCAAATGTACCACCTGCAGAAACCAGAAAGTAGACTAAGCAACACTCCAGACCAGTAACAGTATAAAGTAAAAAATGATTTAACCAGTAAAAGAAGCTTGTATTAAGAGTTTATAGAAACAAAAGTTACAGCTCTACAGGCTAGGTTCATTGACATTTTCCAAGCTGAACACATATTCATAGATCATAGTATGTAAATTGCTTGGTTCATGCTTCATACTAAAGTATTGAAGATAACAGACTAGAAAATAAATTGATCTAAACAGACATGCAACACCACAAGTACCCAAATATTTGATCAAGAAATCTCTTTGTACTGATTTTTTTTGTTTGTTTTCAAATAAAAAATCATCAACTAACGTTGTCTAAGCTATTAGCAATTTCAACAATCGTCTAGAAAGGCAGCAATAACCGCTCAAAGGAAAGGAAAGGTGGAAATTTTACCTTCACCATGGTCATCAGCATTGAGAGCTATGCCTACATACTTGACCACACCAATTAAAGTAAGAGTCCAAAACATTATGCTGTATATTCCCAGGTAGTCAGCTTCTGTAGGAGATGACAAGTTCATTGAGGGATAAACATAGAGGGGAGAAGTAACGAGGCCACCAAAAACCACACCAAGAGTCTTGTACGCAAGGAATATATTCTTGCGAACATTGCCAACCTTCTCACAGTTGAGAGAAGTCATTTGTATGAGCTTTGAGCTACACATAAGAGATTCAGTACTCTAAAAAAAAGGGATGCACCAAACTGATCATACAAAAGCAATTGGTCATTTGTACGCAATAGTGAGTCAATGGAGTCAAGTCAAGCAAGGCCCAAAGCCGCAAAGTAGGACCATTATCATTGCTTGAAATCAATTGTGCTGATAATTTCACAGATCCCATCCCCAACAAGTAATGATGTGGAATTTTGTGGGGCTTACGACAAATGTGAACACAAAGGACTTGTTTCATTCTCTTGGTTTACTTTGGTGTGGCATCAACATCGAATCTGACTCCCTGTGATGTAATCCCTTGTGACATCATCAAAATAATCACCCCCAATCAGCAAACCTAGTTCTCTCTTGCTCTTATTATTTTATTGAATGGATAGCTTAGAAAAATCAGACAAGCAGTCCCGTCTAAGAATGATGGATGGAAAATGACTAGATGCATTTCCAAATGAAATAAAGAGGGAATCTGGTCATTGCAGACTAATATCCTTATCCGTTGCTTACGAGCACCTAGGAATCCATCTCAGCTACCACGTTTCACAGTGAAGGAATAGTAGTAGTAACAATTTTCAGTCAGAGATGTTCTAGTCTTCCAACTGAAGATACAAACTCTTAACTAAAAGGTAAAAGTGCTCTCTAATGCGTCAACATGTCTGGCGTGTTAAATATCATCCACAAGTTATGGAGGCAGGAAAGGAGAACATTCCACTGATTCCATATTGGCCCAGGCCCCCAGTCCAAGACAAACAACCTCCGCTGGCTTAGATGATTTAGACTATTGCGTGACTGCAAATCTCACTGACCAGCGGTAGCGGAAAGTAGCAGAAAAAACAAAAGAGAAATCAACTCTGCTCATCGCTCGATGACTAAATTATTCCATGTCAGATGTCACCCCCGCGCGCGGAAAAAGAGATAGTATGGGGAAAGGAACAGCACAGAGTTTGGAAACTGAGGCACGCGCACTCGCGCAGCTCAGTGCTACCAACCCCGTGCAGAACTCGCCACCGCGGCGGAAGCCAATCCCAGGCTTGACGCTGGAATTTTGACACGCAGCGCCACCGCCGCCGTCGCAAGAATCAAGCGCAATATCTCTACGACTACGACAACTGCACGAGAACTTCCGTGGACGAACAAGTCGATCGATTCACCGCCGCTCGGCTCGGGTCTCCCGAGCATGCTCTGCTACTGTGCGCATGCACATACAGTAAAATAGATGCTCTCGTTGAAGAATTGTTTAATAAGCCTACAGATTGTAGTACTAAAGTAAAGCTCTCGCTCTCGACCGAAGCTTTCCGGCGAGAATCCCACGCCAACACGAGGCGAGAGCTCGCGCAAAACTACCAATAGATTCAGCTAGAGAACACAAGTACTCTAAAACAAAAGCTAAGCAGAGCTGTAAGATTGAGAGGATGGGGTTTCTCCCCGCGCACTCACGTCGGTCTCTCTGTCGGCCGGCGGTGGTGGGGCGGTCGCCGGGGAGCCGCCGCGGGGTCGGGGAGGAGCCGCCGCCTCGAGATCCATGTGGGCCCCTGTTCGGCGTGTGCAGGCAGAGGGGGACGGGAAGCGGTGGTGGCCGAAGCTGTATAGGAGGCGGGCGAGAGGAGGTTTATAGTACCGAGGCGAGTCCTCTCCGCCGCGCGGCGACCGGGACCGCGACTGATTGGGAAGGGAGTCGGGCCGGCTCACGAGTCAACACACGTGCCTGCTTCCGTGACCAGCGCGCACTGCGGGTCCGCAACGAGCCGTGGGCTGCTGCTGGGCTTTGCCTGCATGCTCCGTGGACATCAAGCAGCCGGATTTGGCGCTTGCTGGGGCCATACACACTTCGGGCATTGGCTGAGTGGTTTTGTCTGTTTTTCTCCTTTTGCGTTTTGCCGCGTACACCCGCCAAAACGCGTGCTTCCTTGTATATTGTTTTTAATTGCTTTCCTTCTATATATGAATACCGGATTCTAAAAAAGAAAAGAAGGTATCCTTGATCAATGATTTCGACGCGCCCGGGTCGGGCTCTCGTGCTGGGTTCCCAGCATGCACTATCGTGCAGGGTCAACCAGCGCCCAGCACGTGTCCCGTGGACCCACCACTTAAACAACCCAGCATATCTCTCTAATTGCAGTTAGGTTCCAGAAAATCAGCAAAACGACATGTTTCTCTCCCGCGTTACAACTGATTGCCGCCAAAATCTCTTTCCTGGCTTCATCCTTTCTCCTACGGATCTATTCCATTGTTAATTGTTGCCCCTGGATCACAGGAGAATAGATCAATCTTGATAGAAATTTATGCTCTCCGTGGATCAACATCTACTGTGTTCTTCAGCATGGACGGAGCTCCTCGCACTTCATCGTCCGGAGGTATGTTCTTGTGCCTGGAATTAACAGATTATCAGCACTCTTGATCATACGAAGGTGACAAGATTAAAAAAACGAAGAGCTGATTCTATGACATGCAAATTACTCCTTCAGAAATAGCTCCCCGCACTCCATGTTCCGTAGCCACATTTCTTTCAAACACATGCAAATTAATCCTTTGGAATTGCACTATAATTCTGTTAGTGATGATCACTCCTACGATGTTGCGCACATTATGCATCAGAGTACCACCAAGTTTATTATAAATTTTACTGCATGAGATTTCTACTTTGACACTAACTCTAATGATAGAGATTACTGTATCAAAGAAAAGGATCAATAATTTGTTAATGCTCCTTGGGTGAATATCGTGTGATTTTCAGGTTTCACTAAAACCAGGACTGTGAATATCTTGTGATTTTTACTCTGTGTGTCATCCATGAACTAATTAGTATATCATAATTTTTATGTTGTGTAGATCATGAGACCACAAATGTGGGAGAGGCAGGTGGAAGTACAAATGATTATTACATCAAAAGGTTAAAACCAGAGATATGAATGGAATTTGAGAATGATGATATAGCATATGAGTTTTACAATACATATGCAGGACATGTAGGTTTCGGTGTCAGGAAATCTTGGCATGATAAATCCTCGACGACTAATGTTATTCGGACAAAGAAATTTGTATGCTCAAAGGCAGGTTACAAGGACAAGAGCAAGGAACAATGTCAGAGGAAGCGAGCAGATACAAGAGTTGGTTGCCTCGCAGAGATGACCATCAAAATAAGTGCTAATGGAAAATATGTTGTAAGCAGCTTTGATGATGCTCATAATCATGAACTCGTAACTCCAAGCAAAGCCCATCTACTGCGATCCCAGAGAAAAATTACAGAAGGTCAGAAGGCGCAAATTGACATATTGAATGATTCAGGTATTAGACCAAAGTCTGGTCATGAAGTGATGAGTAGACAAGCAGAGGGTCGACAGTGTCTTAGATTCGGTCAAAAAGATTATAAAAATTATCTCCGTTCAAAGCGTATGCAATCCATCCAAGAAGGAGATACAGGTGCCATTCTTCAATACCTTCAGGACAAGCAGATGGAAAACCCTTCCTTTTTTATGCAATACAAGTAGATGAAGATGAGATGATAACCAATATATTCTGGGCAGATGCAAGATCAATATTAGATTATCACTACTTCGGT